ATGCTGCTTGGGCATACTCAGAGGGAAAGGAGAAGCTGCCACTCCAGGTCACTCTCTGCCCCACCTGTGCCCAGTGCTCTGCACCAGGGCAGGGCAGCATCAGGCTGGAATGGGGAGTCAATCAGAACTTGACCTTCAGGTGCACATCTCACTTGCTCTTTGCCCCACTTTCCTGAGGCCCTGAGGCCACAACATTTTCTGTAGAAACTAGCAAAGTACAAGCCTCCCTGAGACCCAGCAGAGCCATGCAAGGTCAACCACACCTGATTGAAGAAGGGCTGCCTGAGCCCCAGGGAGTTGCTCCTCCTCCCTAAAATGGATGGGCGGGATGAGCAGCACCATCAAGCTCTGCCTAGGTTTCTCCTGTGGTCTAACCACTCCATCCTGCACAATGCAGCATCAACCAACTCAAGGCCTTCTATCCACGACAGTATGAATACTCTGTCACACCCCATACATCTGCTGCTTCCTCTGGAAACCTAAACTCTTGGTCTCCTGACTTTTCTCTGCATCTCACAGGAGCCTCTGCACTGAGGCTGCTCCACCTTCCCCTGGATAAAGCACTGTTCAGCTATAAGAGCTTCACCACATCTGCACAGTGTCCACCCCATGGACTAATGATGTCAGGCTGGACCCAAGTCAGGACATCTGTGTGAGAAAAGGCTCTGTCACTGACAGACTGTGTCAATGAAGATAGTCTCCAACCTCCCTTGACCTCACAGAGCACATCTTTGCACCTTTTACACCAACAGTATCTTCATGGTAGTTCTGTCTTCAACCTTAACAGGAACAGGCCTTCTAAGAGCATCTAACAGAACAAGAGGGTCTCTTGATTCTGGTGTTGTGGTCTCCATGGTGACAATGCTCATCATCATCATAAGAAGACTAACTTAGCAGGGACCTACTGCTTGCGTTTTGGGGTTTCTAGATCAGGTTAACAGGATTGTGACTGTCTGCTGTGCTTGCTTTCTAGTGACAGTCTGGAGCATCAACATGCAGGAATAGTAGTCTGGGTTTCCACAGTCTTGAGCATGGATTATTTTTTCTCAATTTATGAAGCTGTTCCTCTTCTTTCTTCACTAGGCAAGATTCTACAGGAAACTCAGGTTATCCTGTGTTCAAGTAAAAGTCCATTGTTTAAGGACAAAAGATTTACAGTTCATCAGGTATTTAAAATACATGCAGGTCTCAGAAAGGTTGACACCAGGCCCATGTGACCCACATGAGATTCCAAAGTTGTAGTTTTGGCAAAGGATAAAGGGGCCTGAAGAACACTATAGGGTGCAGAGGTATGAGAGGAGGGGGCGTCCTGGAGCTCCAGGTCTAGAGCTACCAGCCAAGCCTCATGTTCCCCAGCCCAAATATTTCTAGAGCCTCTGTGAAAACCTCAGCAGCTTCTAGAGTCTCTCAGGCCCAGAGCCAGCACTCAGCAGTTGGACAGAGTCACCCATGACCCCAGGAGAAGCAGCACAGATGGTCCCAGTGGTGCTGCAGCTCCAGTCTTCAGCATCCCCTGTGCCTCTCTCCTCAGCCTCTACAGGTGCTGAGGAAGGAAGGGACTTTCCCTGGACCCTGAGCACCCATGCTAGAAGATTCTGCTTTTCTTTAGACTGGATTGGATATGAGATGTCTTTCAGGAAGCCATTTGTGAAAATCTAAGGGGATCTTCTCTGGGCAGGTAGCCAGGGAGATTTTAGAAATCCTTAGAAAATATCTTAGGCTCCCCCACAGAATAGATTGCCCAAGGCATATGACCTTTACTTTGCTCTACTAGGAAGGTCTCTAATGATCCCAAGGGAAATGGGCTTAACCCATTGGAAACTAAACATCCCACCTTTTTAACATTTTTTACAACATTCTATTGAAGGCCGTTGATGTCCACAATAAAAAATAAAGCAGGTGCAGGGTCCATTGTACCAGAGTACAGAAGTGCACTCCATTGTATGATCTGCTTGCCCCTCCCACCCCAATTTTTGAAATCACCTTCTGCGTCCTGTGATTTTTCATTATTCTATTTTTCTTAGGATTATTTCTCAGCAGCCCATCCCATCAAGGGGAACCCCATTCCCATGCAGGTCACGTGGGAGACTGTCCCCATAAAGGTCTGTGTTAATGCAGGAATATTCATAGATGAAATGACAAGATTTTGAGAGCTAACCCTGATCAGTCCTTTCTGGCCTGAGTGGACTAACTAGGTGGTGACTGAGGGCAGGTGGGAGTAGCTGGAGGAGGTGGTCACTAGGGTTGAGCCCTGGAAGGTGCATCTACCCTGAGGCCCCTTCCCCTCTCTCCTTGCACTTCCTGGCCACCAAGCTTGAAGCAGCTCTCCTCCCCCACACCCTTCTGCCCTGATGTTCTGCCCACCTGGGCCAAGATCAATGGGGTCAGCTGACCAGGGATGGAAATTCTGAACCCATGAGCCCAAGTAAATTTTTCCTGCACTTTGTTAGATTTGTGCTGAGTTTATACCACAACAAAGTAAAATTGACCAACACAGACTTGTGATTAAAAGGATTTGCCTTGAATTCAGGCATCTGTGGCTCCTAAGTGCTTCCAAGGAGGTTTCTAGGCCTAGAAGAAAAATAAACCTATTATCTCGGGATCGGCGGGGGGAATCCTGCCCTTCTTAACGCCATAAATAACAGCTCTGGCCTGTACTAGGGTCTTGCTACTAATTCAGAATTTCCAGCCCTGTGATGTGACCCAATTCCCAAAATATCCAGGTAGTAAAGAAAACTCTCATCATAAAAACCTGAATAACCTCCTATGAATGAGAAAGTTCAGTCAGTTCACATTAACACTGAGTTAAAATATCACTAATGATCATCTGAACAGGATTTTAAATCAGCCACAATAAAAGTGCATCAACCAGAAATTGGAAATGTATTTGTAACAAATGAAGAACAAACAGAAAGCATCAGCCAGGGGACAGAAACTGTGCAAGCCAGGAAAAGGAAAGTTCAGAACTGAAAACCCCTTTCACCATAGTAAGAGCGGAGTGGGGAGCTGAGCAGGTGAATGGAGCAGACAGAGAAAGGAGGCAGCAGGAGGGATAGCCATGGTCACACCCAGCTAGAGAACCCTGGGGACAGCCTAGTGGGGCAGCAAACAGAGACTCACCCACCAGGAGGTGCCTGCCAGCCCACCCCACAGCCACACTGCCAGCTTCTGAAGACAGATACAGAGATCTTAAAAGCTGGGAGGGAAAAGGGACTCCTTAGCTTTGTGGGAGAAACAACTGGAATGAACAGAGAATTTTTCACCTGGAAACAGGGAGGACAAAGGAAAGGACACACCTTTAAGTGTTGAGGAAAAGACTGTGGACCCAGAACTGTTCCTCAGGAATCAATGTAAACTCAAGGGCCCTCAGTTGTAGAAACATGAAGAGAGTGTGTAGGTGACCCCAAAGGGGCTGTGAGGGGCTCTATAGAAAATACAGACATGACAGGAGCAGGGACCTTGGAACACAGAACGGGGAAGGACCACAGAGGATGGACAACTGACAAGCATTTGAGAGCTGAGTCTGACCACTGTACATTTTGGACATCTGTCCGAACATCACTGTGACACCCCAGGTCACCAGGAAAATGCAAATCAAAACACATGAGAAAACAGCCCCCTGAGGGATGGCCAAGACCATGAGGGAGCACCCCACAGGAAGCAGGAGGGCATTCTAGGCCCCATCCCTGCTGCTGAGCTGGTCTTGACTGCAGTCACAAGCCACTCCCAGCAGCTGGTTTTCTGGAGAGTGTCCACAAGCTGTCTCCAAGATGAAGACAGGATGTGAAAGGCAGTGTGACATATTCTGATAACACTAGGCATTCTGCTATGAAACTACACACATACACAAACACATCTAAAAAAAAATAAAATTTTGTACCAGAAAAACATGAACATCTAAAAATAAAACAAATTCTGTACCAGAAAATTTACAGGAACTGTGTTCAGCATTGAAAACTTGGAGGCCACAAGCCTGCCCTTCTCTGGGGGGAATGGATCAATAATATTGAACAGCCAGAAAGTAGAATATTACTCAGCAATGTAAAAACAAACAGCTATCATACTGGGTGCTGTGGTGCTCCCCTGTAATTCCGCCAACTGGGAGGCTTAGGCAGGAGGGTCACAAGTTTAAGGTCAGGTTCAGCAACTTAGGAAGGACCTAACAACTTAGAGAGATACTGCAAAAAAAAAGGCATTAAAAATGTGACTGTGTAAGTAGTGCATGTCTGGATTTAATACCAAACTTGAAGAAGAATTTTTTTTAAAAAAGGAAACAACTCTCTATGTTGTAGTGAAAACCCATGGAGGAGGTTTGTGTGCACAGCACTCAGGATGACAGGCCAGGCTGAACATCATCATGCTGTGAGTGCCAGGCAGCATCACTCAGCCCTGGTGAAACTACAGGATGGAAAATCATGGAGGTCTGCAGCAGATAGGTGGGTGAGGAGCAGTTGGAGCTCAGAGAGTGTGAGGGTGTGACCTGCACTGTGCCAGGCCACACTGCTGGACACATGTCACTGTCCACTTGTCTACCTCCACAGAATGCACAAAGTGACCCTGGTGTGACCTGTAGACTTGGGCCGAGGTTGGTGAATTGTAACAGAAGCAACAGAGTCTGGTGTGATGATGGAGGGGCTGTGGAAGCAGGGAGGCACAGGAGAACCCTGCACTTCACCCAGTTTTGCTCGGAACTTAAACTATGCTGAAAATCAAAGTCTTGTAATATTCCCATGTGGAATACATGGAGAAGTCTGTCTTTGCTTCATGACACCAACAATTGTCATTAGAATCACTCGAAGTCTAAATTCTGTCCTGTAACATGTCATTGAGGCGGGTATCATTGTCACCTTCTGTAACTTAGCTGAGGAAAGAGTCAGGGTGCAGAGGAGCCCCCCTGGATCCTTCCACAAAACCTCCCTGTGGCCCTGGGATTCTGGTGCCTCTGAGCTGTGCCCTCACTAGTTGGAGGCAGCAGGGGGAGCAGCTGGGGCAGCCTAGCATCACACTTTGGCTCCCTGGAAGGTTTTTGTCATGGCCTGTGTCACTGTGGGAGGGGAACTGCTACCTTGTTGACAGTAATAATTGGCAACATCTTCAGGCTCCAGGCTGCTGATGGTAAGAGTGAAATCTGTTCCAGATCCACTGCCACTGAACCTCGAGGTGATCCCAGGTTGCAAACTGATTGCAAGATAGATGAGGAGCTTAGGAGCTTGCCCTAGTTTCTTCTGGTACCAGTTTAAATTACTGCCAAAACCCTGACTGGCCCTGCAGTTGAGGGTGACTCTGTCTTCACGAGACACAGGCAAGGAGGATGGAGACTGAGTCATCGTGATATAACATCTGACACCTGACATTGGAAACATAAAATAAATATTCTTGTAAGTAGTGATGTTCCAAGAGGACTTTCCTGAGAAGCCATGCAGCACTGACCACACTGTGATTAGTAAATCCCCAGTGCTCTCCCTCTTTACCTGGAAGGCAGAGCAACAGGAGACCCAGGAGCTTAGCAGGGGCCCTCATGGCCATGCTGTGTTCTGACAGGGACTGACTCCTGCACAGGGTGTGAACAGCCTCTCAAGAAGTCCAGAGGGCAGTGGGCTATGCTGTGGGCACATGCAAATCAGTAAGGCTGGGCAAGGTGGGCAGAGGTGCAGGGCAGGCTCCTCTTGGTTAATCAACACAGTCTCAGTGTGTCCAGGTGTCCCAGGTCAGATCAGGACAGCTCAGATTTGCTTGGGGGAACATGGTTCCCTGGGGCCACAGGACACAGTTAGCCACCTGAGATATTAGGGTAAGCAAAGACCCACCAGAGCTTCATCTCAGCCAGAGACCAATTTGCTTAGAAATGAATGAAAGGAATATTATATGCCACATACATAATATTTAGGAATTAAATTATGTGGATCTGTGTTTACTCTCCATCTCTAGTATGAATATATGTATGCACATAGATATGCCATGACTTTTGGTTTAATGTGTGATTTTATTTTATTTTTTTTATTTTTTCTTTGCTACTTTGTCAGTTCTGGTGATCTACACAGAGACTCTTACATGCTAGGCCAGCAATGAGCTACACTCAAATCAGTTTCATTTTATTTATATTCAGTGATTCTATAATTTGCCTGGGTGGCCTTGAACTTGCAGTCCTCCTCCCTCAGTCTAAGGTGTCCAGGACTATAGGCATGTACCACCTGCTCATGGAACTCTAAGATCAGACACCCTGATCCTGGGCAGGTAAAACTGACATCTCTTGCCTAAACCCATGGCTGCCTCTCCACTCTCAGCACTGAGCATTAGCACCATGGAGTTTAGGACCTGCACAGGGTCCTCCTACTGCCTGGAACAGTGACCTTCTCATTTCTCACGACACTGGGTGACCCATGGGGCTATGGTTACAGATAGGAGCAGGTGTTATACAGATGGGCAATTGTTCTTGACCCCAAGGGGATAAAAGTTCTGTGTCCAGAGTTTGGCAAGTTTAGTTCCTCCTGCTGGCTTCCCCCACACAGGGCAGAAGAGCTGGCTCAGTGACTGCATGGCCAGAGGACAAACCCATCCACAGTGGCTGATGGCCATCCCTCTGACTGGACAAACATATGTGCCTCTGGCAGGTCACAGCTCACATAATGCAGGGACTTTGCTCACAGTGGACCACGGTGGCAACATGTACAGCACTGAACATCTGCTGCTCCCCTTTCTGGTCTCTAAAGACCACCAGGCACCACCATTAACTCTCCCATGAGAATCCAAGGGGTGAAGTCAGAGGCAGGTCAAGGGCCAGGATGTGCAGGAGAACAGGGTTGTGATCCACATGAGGACAGCCATATGGAAACTGAGGAGTGACAGGTGTGAACTCAGAGTAGGAGAGGACAGGACAGAGAAGACCCAGTCAGGAGGGCAGAGGAGAGACACTGGAGGAGCCCAGGATCCAGGGAGAAGAGATGGAAGGGGGAGGGAGGGTATGACTTCAGAGCTGTCCCCAGCCTTCTCCCCTAAGGGTCCTCAGACTGTCAGCAGCCCTGTGCACAAGCAGCATCTGAATAGAGGTTTGTCCCCTAGCGGGGACAGGAAGACATTCAAGTTCCTTGATGGAAGTGTAGCTGCTGGGGGCCAGAATAACCAGTGTCCCTGCCCCACAGCCCTCCCAGGCAGGCAGAGTGTTCAGAGGGCAGCAGGAGGCAGCAGGAGCTCAGCAGCCAGGCCTGGTCCTGATGGTGCTAAGCTGTATGCTTCTAATGCTCTTGCTGAATCAGTAAGGGACTGTGACCTCTCTCCTGGGACACAGAAAGAAAGACTAACATAATGAGACCCTGTGTGTTCTCACTGTACCAGAAGTGAGTTCTCTCTCCATGTTTCTGATGGATAGTGAGAGGGACATCACTGGACAAAGGCAGAAGGAAGTGTCCTGGGAGTTCAGGTGGCAGTAGGTGGTGTCAGAGTGCAGGAGGGACCTTACTAGCATCCTGGCAATAAGGAGGGCTTCATGGTATCTTAGTTACTATTTTGTGGAGGACATGGTGGCCACTCCCTGGAAGTCCTCTTGGGCCTGAGCCCTCATCAAGGAGTGACAAAGTGTCTCTGTACTATCCCCCCTGAGCCCAGCCTGGTGTCCAGCATCCCCTGCGCTCTTCAGCTGCTCCTGCTGCACCTGGAGGCTGCCTTCCCAGAGGGCTGGTGCTGTAGCTGCTGCACCTGCAGGACCTGATGAGCATCCTGCTCAGGAGAGTAGGTGGAAGCTCCAGGACACACAGGGGACCGTGCAGATGACATCAATAGAATTGTGGGTGTGTGTTCATGCTTGTGCAAAGGTGTGGAAAACCAATCTGAAGGCTTGTGCTACAAACACCTTCCCATAAATTATTCTTTGTTTTCCCACTTTTTGATGTGTAGTTTTGTTATGTTTAAAATGGAAATTGTTACCTTGGAATAAGCTAAGAGTGGAAAATAGATTATATTCTTAACCATAATAAGACAATGTTGTTCTGGTTTCAACATTTATTTTAGTTGAATGACATGTCTGATAACTCAATGACTATTATTAGATTTTGATCACTATTTTAATGAGAACCTATCAAACACCTCTTCTATACAATTTTTTTTCTGAATATACAAATCAGATTAATTTCCATGGGGGTTGGTCTGGGGAGGAGTTTCACCATGCTCAGCTGCCTACACACTCAGAGGCTGCTATAGACAGGGACATGGTTCCTGGAGTCTTGGCTGCTCATCAAGATGGTGACAGTCCTGGTGTCAGCATGTCATGCTGCTTCTACAGGAATGCAGGATGCTGAAGTCAGGGGTTTTTGGAGGCTTCCTCTGATATTTCAAAGGAAGTCCTGGGAGGACAGACAAAGGGTCCTGAGGTCAGAGTCCCTGTGGGGTGCCTCTGAAAGGGTCATGCATGCAGGAGGAGAAGGTAGCAGAGGCCACAGTGGAGATCCTGGAGAGGAGAGGTGCCAGTAACCCTGACTATCTACTGAGGAAAGCCGCAGTGAGACCCTCTCAGACCACTGAGAGGGAAGCCATGTGGTCACACCTGCAGAGCCCCAGAGAGGGAGCTCTCAAGCCCATTAGAGAAAACCTCACCAGGCCATGTTCAGCAGATGCTGGGAGGGGCTACAGGACTTGTTTCCCAGCTGGATCCTCATCTGGCTTTGTCCCATCACTTCTAGAGTGGGATGAAATACTATAGTAAAACAGGATGCCTCTGTTTCTTTCTTACTTTTTGTTCTTTTTTAAAATTTTGAAGTGAAAATGTTTGTGTTATTCCTTTATATATTGGATATATGAAATGTGCTTTTAATTTTCAAAGGGTTCACACTGAGAGTTTGCCTTGAATTTGGACTTTTGGGCAATCCTGGAACTCTTTAAGATTATGGGAACTATGGAAATGAGCTAAATGTATTTTACATTGTGAGATGTGAGCGTTGGGGGTCCAGTTACAGAACATTATGATGTGGATATGAGATATCCCCCAAAACTGATGTGTCAGACAATGCAAGGATATTTATAGGTGAAAAAATTGGGTCATGAGAGTTTTTACCTAATCACCAATCAAGTGCATTAATCCCCTGATGGAGATTAACTGGATGGTTCCAGTAGGCAGGCAGGGTGTGACTGGAGGTTGGTCTCTGGGGACCTTCCTTTGAGTGTTATATTTTCTCTGTCATCTGCAGTTTCTCTCTCCTGGCTTCCTGGTGACACTTCCTAAACCCTATTCCTCCAAGTCTCCCTTCTTCCAGAATCTTCTGCCTCATGTGGGGCCCAGGGAAATGTAGTCAACTGTCTATTGACTGAGACCTCTGAACAGTGAGACCCAAATAAACTTGTCCTCCTAGAATTGTTCTTGCCAGGTCTTGTGGTAACAGCAGCATAAAAGTGACTAAAACAACTTCCAACATTTTTAGGGTGGAAGCTTATGGAGCTTGAGGGGAGTGGGGTTGGAGACAGCTGAGAGAGAAGGCCTGGGCTGGGGTAACCATGTGGTACCATGGACATGGTGTATTGGAAGGAAACTCAAGACAAGAGACAGTTGCATGGGGTTCAATTTTTTTTGGAGGATACATTGGTTTGGGTTCAGAACTGCAGAGGTTCAGTTCAGGTCAAGGTTGTCTGATTTCAATACTCTAGTGACAAAGTGAGGACCATGGAAGAAGGGCCTGGAAGGAGGAAGCTGCTCACATCATGGTGCTCAGGAAGGAGAGAGAGAGAGAGAGAGAGAGAGAGAGAGAGAGAGAGAGAGAGAGAGAGAGAGAGAGAGATGGAAGTGCCAGGGTCACAATATGGACTTCTCAGGGCATTTCCCCAGTAGCCTGACTTCCTCCAGGAATACCCAGCATGCTTAGAGTTACTACACAGTTAGTCCATTAAACTATAAATCCACTAAATGGATTAATCCACCAATGAGGCTACATCATTTCACCTCTAAAGATTCCTTCATTAATGGAAGTTTACACCAGAGTGTTTAGCACCTGGACCCGTGTTGCTCAATGTATGACTCATTATGCAAAATGCATTTAGTCCATCTGCAAGTGTCCACATAGTCTAAACAATTCCATCCTGTCAAAAAGTTCAAGGCAAACTCTTTATGTGAGCCCAATGATAGTCAAGGGGAAGAAAATTTTGAAAAATTTTATTTTTCTTTTGATACTAGGGATTGAACTTAATTATTGAGCCACATCCTGGGCAATTTTTATTTTTTATTTTATTTTTTTTAATTTTTGAGACAGCATCATGTTAAGTTGCTTAGATGGTGACTGAGCTATGGCCATGCACTCAAGGTCCAGAGCCCTCAGCTACAGTTTCTTCCTCTCAGACAATCTGCTGA